GCCCCTAATCACCTATCTATCTATACATTTTGTCATATTGGACATTTCATGTAAAGGGAAAGCATATAATATGCTTGACTACTTCACGTAATTTTCTTTTTTTTCTTTTTCTGAGTCTCAGCACTGCAACCCTGGCTACATAGACCCTGGAACTGGCTACATAGACCAAGCTGGCCTCAAACTCACAGAGTTCCACTTGCCTCTGACTCCCAAGTTCTGATTTTAAAGGTGTACATGACCACCATGCCTAGCATAAGTTTTAGTTTTTTTTAATGACAGGGTCTCCCTGTATAGCCCAAGCTAGCCTCAAACTTGCTTCTCCTGCCTCAGCTTACAAAGTGCTAGGATTACTGGCTTGTGCCACCACAGCCAGTGGTATAATGTTCTTAAGACTTGTGCTGTAGCATGGTGAGCACTTCTTCCTTTTTATGACTGAATAACATTACGTCCTTGAATATACAATGATAGCTATTTCTATATCCCATCAGCAATGGCAACAGTTCAAAGAACAGCCCAATTCTTAAAAGTGAAGGTATTCAGAGAAAACAGAGGATAGCCCTAACAAGGTCATCACAATACAGCCCAGAGTTCTAATTCTGATGATTGTAGATCAAGCTATTTGGCTGTAAATTCATAGCACATTAGATGACTAACTAGGGGACATGACAATCCTGTTTTTAAACAGTAAGAGCCAACCAAACTGACCTGTTACACAAAAGCTTTTAATAACAAAGCCAGAGAAATTCTGGCCCAAGCTCCGAAAGGAGTCTGGCAGGAACGGGCAGGAAAAGAAACAAGTCATATGGAATAAGACAGTTCCTGCTTGAGATCCTGGGCTTGAAATTTCTAGGTGGCTTTAGAGTTGCATGAAGTTGAAAAGAAATGCTGCTTATCCCTAGGACTGATCAATTCAGCAATAATTAAAATCCCTGTGTGGCCAAGTGGGTTTATCCTGTTCACCAGTTCTCACAGGAAAGGCCTATCTACTGGGCCGCACAGATCCATTAAGCAAACGCAGGGTGTAGCCTGTATCCGTAAGATAAGTGCTATGTGCTTTCAAAGGGCCAGCATTTAGGTGTCGCAATTCCCTACAAAGTCAACAGGAAAATTAAAGAGGCAGCAAAAGTCTATGAGGGCAGAGCAGTTCCCTGAGCATGTCTGACACCTGCTGGCTGGGGACCGAGAGACAAGTGTCCTCAGTCTTAAAACTTTTTTTTTTTAAGTATTCTAATATTTTTATTTTATATGTATGAGCATTATGCCTACACGTGGGTAAGTGCACCCGTGTCGTGCAATGCCAGCGGAGGACAGAAGAGACCGTCAGATCCCCTGGAACTGGAGTTACAGGCAGTTGTTAGCTGCCATGTGGGTGCTGGGATTCGAACCTGGGTCTTCTGCAAGAATAGTCAGTGTTCTTAACCCCTGAGCCATCGCTCCAGCCCAAAATTATTGTTTTTTTAAATCCTCAAATGCTCAATGTTTTTTTTTTTTCCAGCACCCACATGGCAGCTAACAGCTGTCCATAACTCCAGTCCAGGGGATCTCATGCCCTTTCCTGTCCTCTGTGGGCACTGTACAACACAGACGCACTTAATACATGCAGGCAATACACTCATACATATAAAATAAAAATAATTTAAAAAAAAAAAAAAGAAAGAAAGAACTAGAATAAAAGTGTGCATCAGAACCCCTGCTTATGCAGGGCAGTCAGGTTTGCCCATCAAAACCATTCACATTTCCTAGTCCCTTTTAGTCAGCTTATCCTAATGAAGTTCTCACAGATGCACACCAAGGCGCAGCTACAAAAAAGTCTGAGATGGAGGCCAGGTATAGTGGCACATGCCTTTAATCTCAGCCCTTGGGAGGCAGAGGCAAGGGGATCTCTGTGAGTTCAAGGCCAACCTGGTCTACATAGTGAGTTCTAGGCCAGCTGAGGCTATAAGGAGACACTGTCTCAAAAAAAGTCTGACATGGAACTACATATAATAGTAAGAAACCAATAAAACATTTACAAGTAAAGTTACATTTAATAAATTAAATTATGATATTCCACATATTCGAATCTTTTTTGTTATTTGTTAATATGGAATGAAGTACATCATTTATTACTCTCAAGGAAAGAACACTATACGTAAATACTGTGGTTTAAATGTAGGAAAGAGGGGCTGGAGAGAGATGGCTCAGTGGTTAAGAGCACTGGCTGCTCTTACAGAGGACCCGGGTTCAATTCTTAGCACCCACATGGTGGCTAACAACTGTCTACAACTACAGTTCCAGGGGATTCGATGCCGTCTTCTGACCTCCACAGATATTTCATGACATGGGTACACTTACATATGCGCAGGCAATACACTCATACACATAAAATAAAAATAATAAATAAAATATTTTAAAAATAAATAAATGTAGGAAAGAGGGCCAGCAAGATGACTCAGTGGGAAAAGACCTTCTTGTAACATAAGCCCAGTAACCTGAGTTCAATCCCTAGAACATACATAAAGGTGAAAAAAAAGAATTGACTCCACAAAGTTGTCCGCTGACCTCCATACATATGCTGTGATGTGTGTGTGTGCAAAAAGCATTAGGTAGTAACATGGGTCTCAATCACTGTAGCATTCAAAGATCCTCAACATGATGGATGCTGCCTTCCTTCAATCACGCCCTTTTCTTTCCTTCCTTTTCCTTTCCTCTCCCCTTCTTTCCTTTCCTTTCCTCTATAGTCTTAGTCTACTTTATTGTGTTTTTCTCTTCTTTTAAAAGTTTAGTACACAAAGTAAATGGGTTTCATTATGGTATTTTCATGCACAGGTGTCATTTTATTTTGTTCTTATTTATCCCCTCCCTGTCCCTTCTGCCCCTCTTGTTGATTCCCCTTCCCCCAAGTCCCCCCACCTCATTTTATGCCACACGTATTCCATCACTCTTTCTTTTTCTCCCTCTTCTGTCCCTTAAGATCTCATCTTCCCCTCTCCCAATATATATCCACACATACGCATACCCCACACTTGAAACCTGGAGTCTGCAGGTGAGAGAAAACAGGCAGTTTTTGTCCTTCTGAGTCTGGTTGATTTCATTTAACCTAATGATCTACCCTTGCATCCATTTACCTAAAAAATGCTTCAGGAATTTGTGCCTTATTCTTACCGAGATGCCATCCTATGTCCTCTGTGTGATTCATCTTAGCATACACACTGCCGAAGGGAGAACCCCTCAAGCTTCATTTCTTGCTACATGTCCACAAAACTACTCACCAGGTAGAATATGTGTTGCTATATGCATATGATTTGCTATATCATATAGAAAGGATGGAGACCAGGGAGGCTGCTAAATATCCTACCATGAACAGGACCAACCAGTGCCCATAATGAAGAATTTTCCAGTTCAAAAAGCATATACTGCAAAGGTGAGAAGGCCTGATCTAAATGAAAACTTCAGTGTCCCATGTTCCCTGCAGGCTTTCCCTGCCTGCCCCTCACATTAAGTCCCATGCCTGTAGTCAGACTGACTAAAGCAGGCCTATTCAGCTCTCATCTCAAGAAGTCCTGCTTGTCTGTCTGCCCTGTTCAATTGCAATTGCTCAAAATCAGAGATCACCTTTTTCATCTATATGTCTCAGTTATATAACAAAAGGGCTCATTCAATGTTTTGTGATAAAAAAAGTTGTTTTTTTTTTTTGAAACAGGGTCTCACTATGTAAGTAGCCAGCTTGTTTTGTGATGAATTTTTAAAAATACATATTGATAATTTAATGACAAGAGAGAAACACCTAGTCTTTTGCCTCTGCCACAAACATGTTTTTTTTAAGATTTGTTTTTATTGTTTTTAATTATGTGTATGTATGTGTTATATGTGGGTATTTGCATGGGAGTGCAAGTGCCCATGGAGGCTACAGTTGTCAGATTCCCTGGAGTTGGAGTTACAGGCAGTTGTGAACTGCCTGACGTGGGTACTAGGAATCAAACTCAGGGTCCTCTGGAAGAGCAGTACATACTCTTTTCACTGCTGAACCATCTCTCTCCAGCCCCATACAGAGAGCTTTTTTTTTTGGTCTTTTTTTTTTTTGGAGACAGGGTCTCCCTGTAGCTCCAGCTGTCCTGGAACTCACTATGTAGACCAGGCTGACTTTGAACTCACAGAGATCCCCCTGCCTCTGCCTCCTGAGTGCTGGGATTAAAGGTGTGCGCCACCGTGCCTGGCCAAACAGCTTTTAAAAACAACAACAACAACAACAAAAAACCCTCATTTGAAGCCAGGCATGGTGGCACACACCTTTAATTTCAGCACTTGAGAGGCAGGGCAGGTGGATCTTTGTGAGTTCAAGGACAACCTGGTCATATATCAAGTTCCAAGCCAGCCAGGGGTACAGAATGAGAACCTTTCTCAAAAAAACAAAAACAACATCAAAAAACCCACAGAAACCAAAAGCACATATGATATAAAAACATTAGGAAATATAGAGATACAGGACAAAAAAATGAAATAGAAAAATAGTACTTTAATAAAGCAGAGGCTGGGCTGATGCAATGGCTCAGTAGATAATGATACCTACAACTAAGCCCTATGACCTGAGTCCAATCCAAGGAACCCATGGTGGAAGGAGAGAGCTGATTCCCAAAGTTGTCTTCTGACTTCCACAGCACTGTGGTGTGAGTGCACATACCCCCCACTCTCTATCTAAATTAGGTAATTAATTAATTTAAAAAATATTTTAAAGACATATCTCCCTGTGGTCCCAACTGGCCTAGAACTTGCTATGTAGACCAGCTTGGGTTCAATCTCAGAGAGATCCGCCTGCCTCAGCCTCCCGAGTGCTAGGATTAATGGCCGTGCTGAGACTATAGGACATGCCACCACGCCTGGCTAATTAAATATTTTAAAAAATTTAAAAGATTCACATCATATAAAGCTGGACACAGTAAATCCCACAAAGCAAACTGGAGGACTCCAAAAGACAGTGCCAGAATTTTTGCAGTATAAATCTTCGTAAGTACTCTACTTACTTGAGAACAGCAATCTCTTGAACTGTTATAGCCCTTTTGTCTTTGGTTCCCATATAAGAGAATATGTTTGGTTTTACTCTGGTAAGACAAAAACAAAGCAATATGAAGGCACACACTTCAAGCAAATCACATTTCTCATAGTTTAAGTTTCAAAATAAATATACTTAACATAAGAGGATAAGGAGAAATTTATTTAAATTTTTATAGGAGAATATAAACAAAATTGCAAACTAGAAAAGTAAACAACTACCTTCTCAGCAGTATTTGACTTAGCATTTGTGGCTAACTATGCTAACTTAGCATCTGAATAAGTATACTGTACTATGTGATGCTAACCAGTAACAAAAAAACAAGTCAAGCACTTCCATGCAGTATAAATAATTCATTGCATTATATAAAACTGTGAAAGAAAAAAGGGGGGAAATGCTCTAGAGATGTAATGCAGCACTTTGAAAATTTTATGCCTTCAGTTTTTGAAAAGTTAGTACTAATGCGATTTTACCTTAAATATAATCTATTACACTGCAGTTAAAAAAAAAAAAAAGCATAAAAAAATCAAGCACGAAAGCAGAGGTCTGAACAGCTCTGATAGGAAGATCAATGAAGTTGGTAGGAGGAACACTTATGAACTCCCAGCAATCCCAACTCTAGTTCCCAGATGAACTCCCTTCTACCTATCTAGCTATCCCTATGAAAACTGTCTATTCTCCCAGGATCAGCTACTGGCAGGGGACCACAGACATTTTTCCCAGGAAGCTAGTAAAAAGAGTAAAATGTTATTCAATTAGGTATGGTGTTCAGTACTGAATTATGTCTTCTTCAAATTCTTATGTGGAAGTTCGGACCCCCAGCACCTTACAACATAACATATTTGGAAATTGGGCCTTTAAGGAGATGACCAAGGTACACTGTGGCTGGTCAGGTAACTTGGTTGACCCTAATACAACCTGACCAGTGTCCTTAAAAGAAAAGGAAATCTGGACACACAGATATCACGAGACAAGGTGAGAAGGCAGCCATCTGCAGGCCAAGAAGAGTGAAGAAAATAAAGCTTGCCACACTGATCTGGAAACGTTATCCTACAGAACTGTGAGAAAATCATCAATAATTTTTATTGTTTCCACTACTTAGTGGTTATTTTATTATTACTGCTCTGGAAAATGAATACACTATGTCATCATGTGTTTAGACTGAGTTAAATTTCCAGAAAATAGAATTTAGTGTGGTATCCACAGCGATTTCCACTAAAAACACAAGCATGAGAAGCTCTGGTGCTTTACCCACCCTCAAGAACCACAATCTTTGCTGTATTTGCACTCCTTTGAGCAAATCTTCCAGGTCACATGCTTCATCTAGTCAGAATCCAGGAACTGAGTCCTCTTACTCTGATAAAGACAATCCCTACAAGCCTATCAAAGTTCCATTTTTACCCAGCTGTGCTGGTAACTTGACTGTATGTGAATTATTTACTTCCAGAATTTTCATCTTGAATTATTGGCATGTGGATAAAAAATTAATTCATCTATTTCCCAAGAAAATTACCACTAGGAAACATGTTTGTTGTCTACTGACCTGTAATTCCTGCTCTTTTTTCTCATTAGCACGGGAAGAAAAAACACATTTTCGATGTTTTGACTTTGTATAAGCACAAGATACTAACCTTAAATATTTGGACAGTACATTAATAGCATCCATGGTATCTTTGTTTTCCTTATAGAGAACAAAGTGGCAGTAGCTTCCTCTAGATTTTGGCCAAAAATGTTTTCTTGGATCTTAAAAACAAAAAATTAAATGTTATATATACCAAAATAAGTTGAATTATTTTCTTCTTGGAGCTCTTTTTTTTTTTTTTTTTTTTTTTTGCTATAGAACCTTTGAGTGGCCAATCAGGTATAGCCTAACAGGAACACAAGTTAAGTGGTTATAGCTGTATGACCTATACATATTAAATTTTCTTTAATTGGACACAACACTATCTGTCTATATTTAAAACATAAATCTGAAGTGCAAGTGGAATGAAAAATGACTAGGACTAAGCAGCAATCTTCCCACGGCAGATACGTGGAGGCAGTCCACAGTGCCCTGCAAGGTTACTAGATTAGCACACATCTATCAAGACTGACTGGCCCTCCACCTGCAGTTGACAGATAAGAGCTGTTATGAGAGCCCCTACCTTTCTTGCTTCAGAGTCATGGTCAAGTGTTCATAGATAATGGTAGTAGGGACAGAGACAGAGGTTGTGAGGAACTGCCTTAGAGACTAGGTTTATTTTCCAAAGGCTACTTATACCACAAAAGTATAGCTAATCTCTACAAATGGTCTACAGATACCTATATGAGAGAGAAAACAGCTGGCATTCGAAACCATTATTCCAGGAAAAAAAGAAGCTAAAAAATTAAGCCATGTTAAATGCAAATTTCTGAGCCAGTGCTACTTAATTGTTCAACTTTTTGAACACTGACCTAGGACAGTATGATTTTAAAATAGCTCCCTTTCTATTGTAATCTAGAAACACGTTTTAAGCAAAACAAGGTTTAGATTTATGCTGCTCAAAGAACTTTTTGAAAAAATCAATACTTCGGGAAAAATAAGCTACACTTTGCAGACACTGTAAAACATTCTTGAGTCTTTATAACACAGAGCTGCAGAACATATCTAGTTCATTCGATTTTCCTAACTTCATGAAAGAAAAATTATGAAATAGTATTTTACACCACCAAGTATAAACAATCTTTTTGTTTTGGAAAATTGTTCTTTGTCCTTAAAATGATTTTTTCACACAAAAATCATTATGAATCCTTTCTTCTCAGAGGCTTAAGATACTCCTGGAACCAAAGTTACTTGGACATCCAGCTTTGCCAAGGCAAAAGCAGTTCTTAATAACAGGTTAGTGATTTCAGCTGCCATGTAAAGAACCAGCAACCAATGTAAAGACTCAATAAACTGTCTTAGAAAACTGCCATACCATCTACATCTAGAAAATCAATTTTCCTTCTTGATAAATATGTGAGTCTTGTCTGTCATGCACAGAATACATTTACAGTATCTCTTTAGTTCTTGCTGTGAATTACTCACAATTTCCTCAGGAAACTGAGGATGGGAATATCTTTCTTGGTTTTCCTTCCAGCTCACTATCACTTCAAATTATCTGTACTCAGCACTTCAGACAAATGACTGGCATTTCATCTTGTCTACATGAAACACCAACTGCTCTTACCTGCTGCAGTTCTGACCTCTGTCCAAATGCACAGCATAAAGAGCACAAGAGAGCAATGTTTAATTTATAATACTATTAAAGTGCTTTAGAAGTGAACATGCAAATGGTCGCATGGTAAGCTTATTCTGAGGACTTCTACAGCACCTAGTACTTATGTGGTAGGTTAGCAGCCATTCAGACATTAACAATGGAATGTTGTGGAGGCAAACAGTGAACAAATAGGAAACTCCCCTCCAGGAACAGCCTCCCCATCAATCCCTTCTCCAGGGGGACATCAGTTCATCCTCAAAACTGCTGTACTGACTCTACCCATGGGACATAGCAAATTCAAGACCAGATATCAAATACCTCTTCTTCTACAGATGTTTTTTCTTTTAAATATGGCAAGACATGTCTAAAATGCTATGTGTGACTATCTTGGTGGTAAGAATGGAACTATTCTTTTGCTTCATGTTTTCCTGTGTTTTATGAGTCTCCTGCATAGAACTATAAACATGTTTTAAGTTTGAAAACTAGTTCTCTGCATTGGCTAGCTAACAGAAAGATTTAAAGATAATTTATGAGACTTGCCCGATGAATGCAATGCTCTGCCCTGGCTTTTCTCATCATGTGAATAAGTCATGTGCATGTAAGAGACAGTTCTGAAATAGAGGGAAAAACAACATGTGCTGGGTAGGAGATATTAGGACATTTTTTAAAAAATTTATTTATTATTATTATTATTATTTTATGTGTATGCGTGTATTGCCTGCATGTAGGTGAGTGCACCGTGTCATGCAATGCCCACGGAGGACAGAAGAGGCTGTTGGATTCCCTGGAACTGGTATTATAGACAGTTGTTGGCTGCCATGTGGGTGCTGGGATTTGAACCTGGGTCTTCTGCAAGAACAGACAGTGCTCTTAACCACTGAGCCATCTCTCCAGCCCTGGAAATTATTTTTTTAAAGTTTTTATTTTTATTTATGTGTATGCATGTGTCTATGCCACGTGTATGCAGGTGCCTGCAGAGGCCAGAACTGGGTGTTGGATCTTCTAGAACTGGAGTTACAGGCAGTTGGGTGTTGCCCAACATGGATGCTGGGAACTGAACTCAGGACCTCTAGAAGAGCAGCAAGTACTCTTAACTGCTGAGCCATCTCTCCAGTCCTAGGAAATTATTATTTTTTAAAGAATATTTTATTATTTTTTTAATTTTTAAAATTTTTAAATATTTTATTATTTTTATGTGTATGAATGTATTGCCTGCATGTATGTGAGTGTACCCATGTTGTGCAATGCTGCAGAAGTCAGAAGAGGGCTTCAGACTCCCCTGGAACTGGAGTTAAGGACAGTTGGTAGCCACGTGAGTGCTGGGAATCAAACCCAGGTCCTCTGCAAGAGGAGTCAGTGCTCTTAACCACTGACTCTCCAGCCCCTTATTTATTATTTTTATTTTATGTGTATGTATGTATTGCCTGCATGTAGGTAAGTGCACCCGTGTCGTGCAAGGCCCACGGAGGACAGAAGAGGCTGTCGGATTCCCTGGAACTGGAGTTACGGACAGTTGTTAGCTGCCATGTGGGTGCTGGGATTTGAACCCGGGTCTTCTACAAGAACAATCAGTATTCTTAACCACTGAGCAATCTCTCCAGCCGCCAAAATTATTTTTATTTTATTGGAAGTGATAAGGGTTTGGAATTTCAGTCATTTGATAAATATATACTGAAATATTTATGAATGAAACAGTAAGTTCTGCTGAATATGCTTTAAAATACTCCTAAAGGGAAAAACTGTGTGTGTGTGTGTGTGTGTGTGTGTGTGTGTGTGTGTGTGTGTGAGAGAGAGAGAGAGAGAGAGAGAGAGAGAGAGAGAGAGAGAGAGAGAGAATGTGTGTGTGCGTGCATCTGTGCAAGTGTGGTGGTAGTGGTAGTGTGGTGGGAGGTTAAGGACTAAACAGAAACAACAGAACACTGGCCTTCTTGGAGGTAGGTGATGGATACAGAGCTTCTGTATGTTACTTCCTCTGTCTGGGAACACAGTTGAAAATGTCCATAATACAAAGCTGAAACAACCAAGTATGACACAGTTGATGAAGTTAACTGTGTTTTTCCTTAACTACTGGCCCTGTAGTACATTCACATGTTAGTACAATGGGAATAAATCAATGAAGCCACAAGACTCAAAAACTAAATGTTATCATCCTTTAAGAAGAGCCAGGATAACCAGTGTGAAATTTGGCTCACAAGCATGCACTTTCTGTTAGCAAATCCAAGCACTAAACATGCATTCAGTTATCTCCTCTGCAAATACAAATGCAAATATTCATTCTCTAAGAGTACTCAATTTACAAAAGAGTAAAACATTTATACTGGGAATACTTTGAATAGGAAAAAGTCAATTTTTTGACTCTAAAACCCCAGCCCCTGAGAATACTAATTATCAGATACTTAATTTTACAATTTGAGTGAATTAAAGCTAACTTTCACACATTTGAGACACTCCAATTTGTAATGCAAATGCAAAGAATTCTAAGGCAAGTAATATGCTTCCTATTTGCAGAAGGCTGCCTCTGCCTTCTGAGGGTATGGCATGGCAGCCGGTCTCTCAGAAAAGGAAACCAGTTTAACAAGGGAAACCTTGCTCAGAAGTCATGTCTGGAGCTCAGAGGGTCCCATGAATAAGGAAGGAAAGATGTTTGTAGCTTGAGGAAGATGAGTGATGGTGTAGCATGCAGAACATTCTTTTCTTCCTATTCAATGTTATTGTCAGTACTGTATCCCCTCACACCAAACCTTCAGCTTTCTTGAACATCCTATTCCATCCATTGTCCTTATCCTGCTGCTCATTGAATTTTCACCCTCCCTTTTCTTTGGCTCTTTCCTTTCCATACATAAATATATTCACAGTTCTTCTATTCTCGGTCAAACTTATTCCCTCTTCCTCTTAACCATGCTCCCTTCCTTTTTCTTCCTCTTTACTGCTTTTTGAGACAGGGCCTCCCTATAGTTCCAGCTGTCTTGGAACTCTATGTAGACCAAGCTGGTCTAGGTCTCAGAGATCCCCCTGCCTCTGCCTTCTGGGGTGCTTGGATTAAAGGTGTGCACGACCACACCTGACCATCTTTACTGCTTATTTTAAGAGGCAGTCTATAGTCTTGCCTTTCATCTCAATCTACTGTGTAAACTCGTTTCCAATTTCATCATTCCACTAAACTACTTTGGCAAAAAGACCTTAGTGATTTCTATGTTGCTAACTGATGGGCACGTTTGAGAGTCTGTCTTGATGAACCGATCTGGAGCATTTTCTACTTAGGATGACCACTCTGATCACTAGGATTTCCCATTTGTATGGATTCTATAATACCAGTCTGTCCTAGAGAGATTCTTTGTACCTATCACGATTCTGCCTCAGTAAGGGAATCCCTAGATCCAGAGATCCTGCCTGGGCAACATTAACTTCAGAAAGTATAGAGAACTAGTATATATCACAAAACAGAATTGCCCCTGTCCCTAGAGGCAGGATCCCACTTTGTAGCTCAGATTGGCCTTGAACTCAAGATCCTTCTCAAACTTAAGATCTTTTGTCTCAGCCTAAGCATGCACCACCATGCCCAGACTTAGATACTTTTTAACTTTGTCTTTAAAAGCAAGTTTTTTTTTTGTTTTGTTTTTTGGTTTTTTTTTTTTTGTAGCCCTTGATGGCCTGGAAGTCTATGTAGACCAGAATGGCCTTGATCTCAGAGAGATTAGCTAGCCTCTGCCTCCTGAGGACTGGGATTAAAGGCATATGCCATCAAACCTGGCTTAAAAACAAGTTCTTAAAAGCATCTGAGATTAATATAATCTCAGAATGGAAATTAATTTACCTGCTTGTGTAATGTTACAATAATTATATGGAATTTACCATGTTGTTTTGGTAGAGAAACCAATGTGTCTTTTCAGACTGGCTTAATACATAAAATAATGTCTGAGATCTAATGGATGGTTTCTTATGATATTGGGTACCATGATTCAGAAGGTAATACATTTATGTTTCAGGATGCATGACTCTATTTGGGAAAAGTTTAAGAATATTGCAAATCTAAGTTCAGTGTGGTAATGTTCGTACAACTATAATTCCAACACTGAAAGATGGACATGGAGGCAAAAGGACCAGGAATCCAAGGTCACTCCAAGTTTGAGGCTAGCCAGAGCTACATGAGACCGTGCACCACCCCCCAAAAAGAATGCTGCAATTCACCTAGATAATGCATAACTCACAAATAACAATTCATACCAGGGTTTGGCAGCAAATGAGCTTCAAAGGCTAATGTATTCAAATGCTAAGCAAGGGAGTGCAGGAGGACAAGCAGTGGTTAGCACTGGGCTCTATTTGCAGGACCACGAACAATGGCCCAGATGCTTGCTTGCCCTGCTTTCTTAGTGACTTTTATTGTGGAAAGGGAAGCTGGGAAAAGCTGAAGGCAGGCACCCAAGTGACTGTATTAGTCAGGAACAGCCTTTGTGAGGAGGTGGAAGAGAAGAATTCAGAAGACAGATCTTAGCCTCTTTTTGACTAAATGCCACAACCCTCAAGCCCAAGAGGTTCAGATCTCTGTGCAAATGCTGGTTCAATCTGACCTGCCTTCATGATTCTTTTTTTAAATATATTTTATTATTTTTTAATTTTATATGTATGAATGTAGTGCCTGCATGCGTGTTAAGTGCAGTACCCTGGAAGTGAAGTTACAGACAGTTGTTAGCCACCATGTGGGTGCTGGGAATCGAACATAGGTCTTCTACAAAAACAGTCAGTGTTCTTAACTGCTAAGCCATCTTTCCAGCCCCTCATGATTCTTTTTAGGGTAAGAAATTCTGTTATTCAAGACAGCTTTTCATTAGTAAAATCTTAAGAAGAATTTTGAATAATTTAAAAAAAAAAAAAAAAAAAAAAAGAGTAGGATGATCCATGCCTTTAACCCTAGCGTGGGAAGAACAGGTAGGTGGATTTTTGAGTTCAAGGCCAGCCTGATCTACATGGTGAGTTTCAGGCCAGACAGGGCTACATAATGAGAACTTGTCTTGAAGAAAAAAAGAAAAAAAGTGTAGATATTGACACAGCACAGAAAACCCAGATGTACACAGAACTTGAAAGATGTGGAATTGTTATTTAAAGAAAGGAAAGTGGAGACAAAATATAAAGGCCACTCTGGCTACAAATTACCTCCTCCCTGCATAAAACCTAGCATAAAATCTTAGAAAATGAAGGTCATTTCCAAAACACAACCAATCACAACTACATAGTTTTGTCTTTTCTAATCTGTATCTTCATGACCACACTAAGCAGAGCAAGACTGTATCTTTCCTGGCTCTGTAGAGTGGTGCATAACCAAATGCTGATCAACATAGGCAGTCTTCCCAACTGCATCCATGAAAGAATTAAGGCCAGATGCCCATGTTATCTGTGGTAAGGCACCCTCTTCTCTCCATCTAGAATAGTCATATGCTGTCCTTGGAAGAACTGAAAAACTACTCACTGAAAGCATTTCCCTCAGTGTTCTTTTGCAAGCTTGGCTGACAGAAGGATGTGAAGGTCCTATAGTATACTGTGATCCAGACATTACAGAATCAAACAGCAACAGGCAGACCCTCCTGCCTCAGCCTCCTATCACAGGCAAGTGACTTCACTTTTTTTCTGTATTATGATTTTTTTTTTCAGTTAGCCAACCTGGCATTTTTCTTCAATATTTTTATTTCATTAGAAACATCATTATAAACAATGAAGTCTTCATCTATACACAGTATTCTCTCTTAAATTCATCCAGGAGAATAGTGACAGAGCCCTAATGGGTTGAACAATCTTTCATTATATAATCTCAGGTGTTTGCTCTAACAAATGTATCTTGAAATAACCAACCACTAAATACTGGAGAACCCGAGAGACTGTAGTACCAGTTTCTGGTAGGGGAAAAAATTAAAGAAATAATTTTCATCTGTTAGAAGAAAAATAATTAATTTTTCTTTTTTTGCCTTTCTTTTTTTAAAAGAATGTTTTATTATTTTTATTTTATGTGTACGTGTGTATTGCCTGCATGTAGGTAAGTGTACCTGCATCATGCAATGCCTGTGGAGGACAGAAGAGGCTATCAGATCCCCTAGAACTGGAGTTACAGACAGTTGTTAGCTGCCATGTGGGTGCTAAAATTTGAACTAGGGTCTTCTTCAAGAACAGCCAGTATTCTCAGTGTTCTTAATCACTAAGTCATCTCTCTGGCCCCAAAATATTAATTAATTTTTCTTAAGGTTATAGGCAAGCGTTTTAATTTTAAATTTTTTGTCTTTTTTGAGACAAGGTCTCTCTGTAGCCACAGCTGTCCTGGAACTCACTATGTAGACCAGGCTGGCCTTGAACTCACAGAGATCTGCCTGCCTCTGCCTCCCAAGTGCTGGTATTAAGGGCGTGTGCCACCACACCCAGCAGCAAGTAGAAATTTTTGACTAAAGAAAATACATTAGAACACAAACAATGTGAGACTGAGACTATAGTCATTTGACTGAGCAATGAACAAAAACATGGGTTCAGGCAAAGGGTCAACTTCTAAAATATACCACATTTTCTATGTGTGAGTGAAGATATCCATGTTTGGAAAGTAGAACAGAAAATACGCCCGTAGGAGATGTGACCAGCATTTTTGTTCATCTGAAAGCTTTCCTTCCTACTTTAAGAACACAGAATGAGCAATAATCCTTGCTTTTGTTTTTTTTAAATTATTTTTATTTTATATGTACGGGTGTCTTGCCTGCATATAGGTACGTGCACCCATGTCAGGCAATGCCTGCGGAGGTCATAAGAGGCTGTCGGATCCCCTGGGACTGGAATTACTGACAGTTGTTAGTTGCCATGTGGGTGCTGGGATTTGAACCTGGGTCTTCCGCAAGAACAACCAGTGTTCTTAACTGCTGAGCCATCTTTCCAGCCCCCTTCTATTTTCTCCCTGTGGCCCCAGTTGGCTTGGAACTCATTATTTAGACAAGGTTGGCCTCAGCCTCAACACAGAGATCTGCCTGCCTCTGCCTCCAGTGCTGGAAAGAAAGGTATGTGCCATCACGCCCAGCTAATTCTTCCATTTTCTTCTTGAATTGCCACTTGGCCCACTCTGCTCTTCAGGGAACAACAGTCTCTAGGGCTCCAACCATCTTTCCTCACATATAAGACCAAATGCTCCCACCAGACAGACTGAAGGATCGCTCTGTACCTGAAGTGTATTCATACTCTGAAGGAGTCACATGATCTAGCCGCCTCCACACCACAGGAAGGTAGCCTTTGGACATGGGCAGGCAAGACAAGGAGCCAGGTCTGCACCTCACACTCACCTGGCAGGAGAGGGGTTCACTAACACACTTACTTGCCAAAGCCTTTTTCCCAGCTGCATGGTAGGCTACAATATATTTTCTGCCTTCTCTATCCTCTGTTTTTGTCTCTAATCCTGGGAAGAGAGATTTAATAGCTTGATGGATGACAGTTCTTTTCTCTTTGGTGTCCTCAATAACCTGTTAAAAACAGAGCGACACTATTACTCTAACAAACATTAAATGGGGAAATAATACAGTGAGTTGGTAAAGACATGACTCATCTTATTAACTAAGCAGAAGTAACAAAAATGCTTGGGTACTGCCTCAGAAAAGCCTTTGAACTTCCTGAGACTGCCAAACCCAAGGGCTTGCTGGAATGAGTCCATCTCCAGGCACCACACAAGTACCTCAGACTCACGGTTTCATTTTATCCTCATATAATCCTTATTAATCCCACCATCCTTACATATCTGGAGGTGAGGAAAATGAGGCTCAGGGGGCTCATGGAATGTATCTAAAGTTACACAGATAGAGAGCAGGAGAGCTGGATTTGAAACAGGGCAGTCAGACCCTGTGGTCACCCACAGAATTCTCTTCTCTCTGTCTCTGCTAGACAAGTGGCATGGAGAGATCACATAGCAAATTGTGGACAAGCCAAGTCTTTGGGGGTGTCAGAAACTCCATCCCTATGCCAATTCAGTCCACAACTGCCTCTGCTGAACTATTTTCTACACAAAATTATTTTATGAGGAAGTTCTAACACAACAGCTCACAATAAAAATCAACATAAAATGTAAACTTATTACTTAATACAACTTTTTTCAGTTTTGAGGGTGTCTTACACTACACATTTTACCTCTATTCAACATACAAATGCTGTACATACCATATTTTATTTTATTTTATTCTATTTTTTATTTTTTTGGTCTTTTTGAGATAGGGTCTCCCTGTAGCCCCAGCTGTCCTAGAACTCACTATGTAGACCAGGCTGGCCTTGAACTCACAGAGATCCGCCTGCCTCTGCCTTCCAAGTGCTGGGATTAAAGGCATGTACCATCATGCCTGGCACAATACCATATTTTAAAGAAAACAAGATTTCATAAAATAATGCTGATTCAATGGACAGTATTTTCTAATTCATTTATTACACTAAAAATGCTGATTGAGGGGCCAGCAAGATAGCTCAGTAGGTAAAAGCATTGTTGGCAAGCCTGACAACCTGTGTTTGATCCCTGGAACACACATGGTAGAAGGAGAGAACTGAGACCCACAAGTTGCGCTCTGATTTCCACTCATATCCCATGGCATGTGCACCCCCAAAACAAACAAACAAAAGAAGGAAAAAATGTAAAGTGCTGATTATAAGACCTACTAACTTGATTTCGTGGTCCAATTTAGTGCCTGCAAGCTGAAAACACAAAGGCAAACTGCAACTGCTACTGGCTACAGACTTTAACAAAACACAAAATGGTATAGAAAATGAACTGATCTGTGTTACAGGTTGTGGGGAGCCGCCTGCCGTCCCTGCAGACGCCATTACAAGATGGCGCTCACATCCGGTTCATGTTGAGCAGTAAATAAGTCAGTACGCATGCCCGAAGTAATTTTCCACCTTCTAGTCTCTGCCTACCTCGTGGCGTGATATGGGCTGATGAGTTTGCGACCAATCAAGAGTTGCCACGTCCAAGACGGGCTTACTAACATATATAAGGGCTGGGTTTCCGACATTCGGGGTCTTTGCCCTGTAAGCTTATGCTCTCCCTCTCAAGATGCATTAAAGCTTTTCTGCAGAAGGATCCTAAGTGTGCCACGTCGTTCTTGCTGGCGAGACAATAGCGCGATCGGAGACCCCTTGAGTTCAAGGAGGATTCAGAACTGCAGGTAAGGACGTTCAGAGAGGTATGTTTTTTCTGGACTTTGGCTTGAACCTGTTTCCGCCTTGGAAAGGTAGCTTTGAGGCCTTGGTTATCATTCTGGGAGCACTTATAGTTTTGTTGTATAAAACATGCCAGGCCGTTGTGGCGGAAAGTCGAAATGTTCTTGAGGAAGTCCAGGATAGCATGTCAGAAACTGAACGCAGTGAGAGGTTAGGTGCACGAAAAAAGAAACGGGCCCCAAATAAGGAAAATGGCCCTCCCGGAAGGTCTGTTGACAAGGGAGCGTATTTTAAAGAGCCTAGAGATTCTTTGCCTGTCGAGAGGCCGGACAAAGGAACTAGTATATACCCCGTCCGAGAACTAAAGGCTCTACAATTAAGTAGTTCAAGAAGCCCCGGGAGCTCTGAGGACGAGAGCCTTGACCCAGAAAAAGAGGCAGAGCTAGATGAAGAAGTAGCGAAGTATGAGGAAAAAAGATATCATCCAGATGATCATGTACAAGACAACAAGAGCCCCCAAAAACATTCACATTCTGTGATGCCCCCTTCACAAGTGGCCCCCTCAGCGCCCCCCCCATATGAGGTCCGCCGAGGATCTTTTTCCCTCCTATCTGATAAAGTGCGGAGGAAGTTACGTTCGGCCTTCCCTGTCTTTGAAGGCCTAGAGAACCGGCGGGTATACGCACCCGTAAAATATAACCAAATAAAAAAATTAACAGAGTCAGTCAAAAAGTATGGCGTCACCGCCAATTTCACATTGACACAATTGGACAGGCTGGCGAGAGACTCCATGACACCTACTGATTGACAAACAATAGCCAAGGCCACGCTTAACAGCATGGGCCAGTTTATGGAATGGAAGGCCCTTTGGCATGAAGCAGCTCAAGAACAAGCCAGGGCCAATGCTATATCTTTGACACCAAAACAGCAAGAATAAACTTTTAACATGCTGACAGGGCAGGGACGCTATGCAACCAATCAAACAAATTTCCCCTGGGGAACATACCAACAAGTCTCGAGCACTGCCATCAGGGCCTAGAAGGCACTCTCTAAAAAAGATGAGGGAGGTAACCAATTAACAAAGATTATACAAAGAGCTCAAGAGCCTTTTTCTGATTTTGTGGCTAAGATGACGGAGGCGGCAGGGCGCATTTTTAGAGACTCTAAGACAGCCATGCCTCTTGTCGAACAACTTGTCTTTGAACAAGCCACTCAGAAATGCCGTGCCGCCATTGCCCCTAGAAAAAACAAAGAGATACAAGACTGGCTTAGGGTTTGTAGAGAGTTAGGGGCCCCTCTTACCAATACAGGGCTGGCAGCAGCCATTTTACAGTCCCAGAAACGCCCCCCTAGGGGGTCCAAAAAAAGGGTCTGCTTTAACTGCGGAAAGCCCAAACACATAAAAAGAGACTGTAGAAATCAGAGGCCTCCCCCTGCTCTTTACACCTGCTGCGGAAACGGCACTCCTCCTAGTAGAGGAGGCAATAGAAAAAACACAGTTACATCACATTAACAGCTCTCAACCTTTTTGTCTCTGTGTTTTTAAAACAAAAAAGCTGCCCACTGCGGTTTTATGGCAAAAAGGACCCCTGTTATGGGTTCACCCAAACGCTTCCCCCCAAAAAATAATTAACTGGTACCCCACGGCTATAGCTCAACTTATACTTAAAGGCTTAAAATTGGCTATAAAACACTTTGGCAAGCACCCTACATCTATCTTGGTCCCCTATAATTCCTCTCAGGTGCAAACATTAGCTGCCACCTCAAATGACTGGGCCATACTAGTTACCACCTTCTCAGGGAGAATTGATAATCACTATCCAAGGCATCCTTTGCTGCAGTTTGCAGCCCTCCATCCCGCAGTCTTTCCCCGAGTTACATCTCCCATTCCACTGAAAGAGGGATTGATGATATATACAGATGGCTCCAAGAATGGGAAGGGGGCATATGTCGTGGGTTCCAAGGTGTTCTCACGACAATATGCAGAAACCTCTCCTCAAATAGTAGAATGTCTGGTTGTGTTGGAGGTTCTTCAAAAGTTTTCAGGTCCTCTTAATATTATTTCTGACTCATCCTATGTAGTTAATGCAGTTGCTGTGCTAGAGACAGCTGGTGTTATAAAACCAACCAGCAGGGTGGCTGCCCTTTTTCAGAAAATACAAGATTGTTTATTTAAGAGGAGTACACCCTTTTATATTACACATATTAGGGCCCATTCAGGCCTCCCTGGACCAATGGCCCTTGGCAATGATTTAGCCGACAAGGCCACCAGACTAGTTGCCTTGGCCCTTGACTCCTCTTTGCAAGCTGCCAAAGAGTTTCATGAGAGGTTTCATGTCACCTCAAAAACATTGCGTAAATGCTTCTCATTAACAAGAAAAAAAGCCCGTGACATTGTCACCCAATGTGAAAATTGCTGCCAGTTCCTCCCCACTCCTTATACAGGAGTGAACCCCAGAGGGATTTCTCCTCTACAAGTGTGGCAGATGGATGTCACACACATCCCTTCATTTGGAAAGCTACAATATACTCATGTGTCCACAGACACATGCTCTGGTGTCCTCCATGCTACACCACTTACTGGAAAGAAAACCTCTCATGTCATTCAACATTGCCTTGAGACGTAGAGCGCCTGAGAAAAACCCAAATGTTTAAAAACTGATAATGAGCCTGCTTATACCTCTCAAAAATTCAAACAATTCTACTCACATATACAAGTTATTCATATCACAGGCCTGCCTTATAACCCTCAAGGACAAAAAATCATCAAGCGAGCCCACCGTACGCTCAAATCTTATCTAATAAAACAAAAAGGAAAAATAATGAAGGACTTACCCCCTACACCAAGAGTTGCTATAGCGATAGCACTCTTTACTATAAATTTTTTAAATTTGGATGAGCATGGCCAGACTGCAGCAGACCGACATTGCTCAGAGCCTCAACGGCCTAAGTGGAAGGATGTGCTAACCAATACATGGAAGGGCCCGGATCCTATTCTAATAAGATCCAGGGGAGCTGTTTGTGTTTTTCCACAGAATGAAGAAAATCCTTTTTGGGTCCCTGAAAGACTCACCCGAATCTTGTTGGATCAAGAAAGGCATACAACCCAGCCACCCAGTAAAGATGAGCAGGCCCCTTCTGCTGATGATCCTGACAATCGAAGTCGGGCTCGTTTAAGGGGAACCACACTGGAGAATCATGTCAACCTTCCCGCTGCCTATGCTGGTGATGTATAATGCCCAAGTTTACCCCAGATTCTTTGTAACTAATAAAAATTTAGGCCTTGCCTATCTACCCCGAGATGAGCAGATTGAGGAGCTTA